CGGAAATGGATTCACACACAAGAAGGGGCCTGCCGCAAGCCCCTGCCCATATCTGACTCTGTGTTAGTATGCCAATGCAGGCGGCGGCGTTGCAAGTATGCTACGGAATATTTTCAGTTTCATGCGCCAAGGCTTTACATTCATTGTGTGTGCTCCGGCTCGACTCTGACACGCCCGCCCCTACTCCATCCTCCACCCTCCACCGTCCTGCACTCACTCTCTCTCTCTCTCTCTCTTGCTGTGTGGCAGAAAAATGGAATTGTTTATTTGCTTTCGCCTTTTCTTATTTAAAACTATTTTATGTGCCTGCTGTCCCAGCGTAAAGTTTGCCAAAACGATAGAAAGTACACACAGAGAGGGAGAGAAAAGAGAGAGAAAGAGAGAGGCAGTGCGGAGACTGGGCCAGCAACTGGAGTGTGAAACGTTTTCACTTCCGTGTGCCGTTGGTCCCAACCAACGACCCAGCTCCGGACAAGTCTCCACCGACTCGACTCTCCTGCAGCACTTTTCTTAACATGAACATAAAGTTTAGTCGATTCTGTGCAGTTTTTTCGACCCTGCATGTGTGCGGCATATTGGGTATATTGGTATTCCAGCAGATGACCACAGAGCTTGGGTTTCTTTTTCCACCTTTAAGTGTCATTTGAAAATCTAAAAAAAATGCCTCCTATATTTATTGCTTGCTCCCATTTTTGCCTATCTTCCGCTTGTCGAATTTCAATTATTTTATGTTGTATTGCGTGGGGGTATTCCATAGTCGGATTATCGACTGAATGTAGTTTTCTGAGCTTGTTCTTGTTGCGTTTGTTACTGTTCCATCTAAGGCTTACACCCATTGGTGTTGCTGCTGCCGTTACTTCTGTTCCTGGTCCTGCTCCTGACCAAAATCCCATTTGGCACTGAATTGTGTGCGCACATTGAATTTGTAGTAAGCTTAAAACTCGAGCAATCTATGGGCATTAATAGATATTTTATCTCTCTCTCTCTCTCTCTCTCTGTGTGTGTGGGTGTGTGTGGAAAAATATGTATACCGACCTCTTCTGCCATGCATACATAGATTTTTGTGCAGTGTAATTGAATTGCCAAGTGCTGGGGCATCGCATTTTATTTTCAGCATTTTTTTGTTCCGGTTTCGCTTTGGGTTTTTGTGTGTGGCAAACCGATGTTGAATGTTGGTCAGCAGCCTACAGCTGGAAGGCCCTTGAACTGAGGCGACTGAAGATGGTCAACGGTTTATGACGTGTTTATTTGCCACAACAAATGCGACACAATTGTGCCACATGCAGTGACATTTATGCGACCAACTCGAAACAGAGGGGCCAACAAGTGTTGTCCATGAGTTATGACTCTTCAAGCGGCAACTGCAAACATAGCATGCAACGTTGACATATCTGAATCGCCCTCTCTCTCTCTCTCTCTCTATGTGATAAATGAAGCCTGCCAAGAAAAGCCAAGTCCATGCACGTGACAATTCCGGACTGGCTTTAAGTGGCCGCTTTAAATATTTAGGCCGTCGCAAAGCAAAGACGAGTGCTCCAAATTTTGTGCAAAATAAAAAGCAGTGGAATATTTATTGCCAGCGTCTCAATCAGTCTTAACCCTTATACATAAATAAATACATGTAGTATGGTGTAGTGTAAATACAGAAATTGCTTTGCCTTCATCGAACCCAAAGAAGTAGTCTCATTTCAGCTTTGCAACTGCTTGGCAATTGAACAATAAAGTCGTAACACGCTTTCGGCGTAGTACAGAAAGCGGATAGAAAGACTCACACAGGCAGCCAAATGAAATAAAATGCAATAAAATAACAACTTAACACCTTTGGCGCCAAATAGACAGAGAACGAGGGAGCATAAAGGGAAAAGCGAAGACTACCTCTCTCCTTATCCCTCTCCCTCTGCCCAGTCCCACAGAAAGTGCCATACACAAATGCGCAGGCAATGCAAAAAGCAAACCGTAAGCGTAGACTAAGCCGATTATAGCACGAAAGTAACGGCAAATGTCTGAGAGATGAGGGTGGAGAGTGCTGCCGTTTGGAGTGGGGGACAACCAGACAAGAGCAAGAAAATACTGGCACTGCCATTGGAATGGTGGAGGGAGCGGCAGCGGGAGGGGGAGCGGTAGTGCGGGGGCAGTCATGAGAAAGTCGAGCAGGAAGTGCGTCGTGGCAGCCAGACAGAGACGGGACAAAGAGCGAGCAGGCAATGAATTATCGCACTAGCAGCAGTCGAGACAAAAGTGTTGTAAAAAATGTAGTACTATTAATTTTCTTTGCATATCTTATTGTATCTTCATAAACAGACACGCACACAAATGTCGGTCTGTGTGGGGATGGAGCTGGGGCTGAGGGCCTGGTACAACCCTCAGGAAACTGGCTTAGTGTTAAGAGATTTCTAATTCAGTTGAGCAGAAATAAATTACTTACCGTAATTGTTTGCCATATAAAACTGTAGCAAATAACATTGAGCTTTAGCTTGCTCTCCCTCTCTCTCTCTTACTATCTATCTCTTACTCCTTTTGCTGTCTCTTTCTGGCTACCTCTGGCTATGTCTCGTGGGAACTTTTGAGACGAAAATTCTGGTTGTTTTAGTATTTGCTTTGAGCCGTTTCTGTTTTGGCAGCTGCCGTAAAAGGATTTGAGCATCCTTTACGCATGATGGTAAATAAAAACTTAAATATCCCTGTGGAACTATCCCTCTCTCTCTCTCTATCATCCTCCCCAAGTGTCGTAAAAACATTAACAATTTTTGTAAAATTTATTTACTTGTTTACTTTTAATTTATCTACCGCACACTTATAGTTGACATGATAGCAAATTATTGCCCCTTTCATTTTGTGCTTTATATGGGCATAAATAATTGTGCAACAGCAGCAACAGCAAGCGGCAGGCAACACAAAACTGCCTCGGTTACAATTTTTAATTATTTTTTAATGAACTACAAACGGCAAATAAAAAAAAGAATATTTACAAAAAGAGTAGGAGTCGGAGAAAGAAAAAAAACCTGTCCTTAACATTATAAATTTATGCATGTTTAAAGTGAATTTATTGCATGTTTAATTGTGGATAATGCGTCAGACGCAGGCGAGAGCAACAAGCTGCCATTGTCCGCTGTAAGCTGCCCACCCGGTGGCAGGCAATAATGTGGTAATTTCACTTTTACGAGCTCATAAGGAGCGTAAGCCTGAGATATCAACCGGACTGAGCTTCGCAGATATTTTCTGAAGGGATAGTAAAATAATAAAAAATCAGCTTGAATTTGTAGAGAAAATAGGTCTTAAACTAGATTTTTAGCAGATATTTTAAATGCCTATTTTGATTTATTAATTAGTTGAAAGCTAACTTTCAATACTCTCCCCCAAGACACGCACCTCTCTCAATTACCACTGCCTGCACAGCCCAATCCCAATCAGAACGTTGTTAATGGCATGCCCCACAAGTCACGTGCTTCACGTTGGCTCCAAAAATCACGCATTAGCTGCCAGTTTGCACTTAAAGTCATAAATTTATTTAAATATATGAGGGTAACCCCTCACATGCATACATATAAACGCGAAAGCCCCCACACGTTCAGAGCGGGGAACGGCACTGCACTGTAAAGCAAAATTTATATTAACTTCATTTTGCCACGGCTGCTGCTCCGGGATGCTACGGCGCCGTCTGCCGCTGCCATGCAGCCATTGCATAACTCATACGCACCGTGCGCCGAGCGGCATGCAGCAAGCGGCAGCGGGCTACACTCCACTCCACACCACTCCATTCCAGGCAGCCATATCACCGACACAAAGTGAAGAAAGGGCCTCGAAAAATGGGAGCCAAGAGAATTTTAAATTACGCTTTGAGTGTCGACGGCTGAGGCCGAAATGCAACTGCAACGTGAAAGAGGCAGTGACTGTGCTGCAGCTCGCTCTCTCCCTCTCCCTCTCCCTCTGGCACTGCCCTACGTTGCATGCATTTAATTGCAAATGAAGCAAGAGCTGTTGAAGCAACAGCGGCAGACGGCAGACCCAAAGCGCTGACAATGCCAATTGCCAGCTATAGATCCCATCCTGCAACACCAGTCCGAGACCCCAGTCCGTGCCACAACGCGCTGCAAGCTGCAAATGACGTTTAATCAAAGTTGTTGAAATTGATAGCATTGTGTATAGTGCACGCGGCGGCGAATGGCAAAATGCATTTTAAAGTGCGCTAAATGTGTTAATTAAAGCTGCCCCGCCCACCGACCCTGCGGCAACTCCCCTGACCCTATATGCTGCTTACACGACTTTGCTTTCGCGACTCATTGGCTGTGATTATTGTTGTAGGAAAAATCCCATAAATAAATAAGCAAAGCAGCTCAGGTAAAAATGCAACAGATTTGAATTAGAAGAGAGGGAAAGAAGAGAGAAAAAGAGAAGGAGATAGGAAAAGCTACAAGGATACCGGGGAAATTGCAACTTAGTTGCTGTGGCAAGCAATAAAATAAAGTCTTAGCCAAGCTCCGATGCAACAGACGGGAAAAGTAGCAGCAGGAAGAGAGCAACAGAAACTGGGGGCACATTTAATTTGTTGTGCAACAAATTAGCATTTATTTTCATTAGGATTTCAACTTCTGCTGTTAACCTCTTTGCCACCCTCTACGGTTCAAGGCTTTCATTTTTTGTCTGCTCTTTGTTTGCTTTTAATTATAAATACATGTGATACAAGCAATATTAACCCATTGAGTTGCACGAATTACAAAGAGGAGTAGATGAATATTTCCAAAATAAAATGTTTTAATTATGAAAAAAACATAAATATTGCTTATAAAATATGTAAACAAGACTCAAAAATGTTTTGTTGTCTATGAATTATACTAAGAATTAAATTAAATTAGTTTTAATCTGTACAAAAGTAATGAAGCACTTTTATTATTTGTTAATAAATCTTTTCACCAAAACACGACTTGGAAATTCCACCCCTAATGTCAGCCAATGGGTTAATCTTAATGCCAATGCAATTCAGCTGCTGGTGTGCTCACATTTTTCCATGGCACACACACAACACACAATTGTGGGCGCGTGGCGTGGCGTGGCATGGTCTTCTTGCATTCAATTAATGCGTGTATAGAAAGCATCACCGCGTCGCCGATGCCGACCATCGTCATCGTCATCGTCATCATCATAGCCATGGTCAGCAGCGGCAGCATCATCATCATCACCTTGACGTCGCTGGGCATTATCCAAGTAAGAGCTCACGCCCGACTGAGCGCCCAACGAAGCTGAAGACCACGGTGCGGATGAGTAGCGTTGCCTGCTGCTGGTGCTGCTGCTGCCATAAGACCAAGGACGCCGTGGATTGCTGGGATTGCTGGGATTGCTGGGATTGCTGTGGCGGCGGGAGTCCGAGTAGCGATGCCTTTCGGGGTAGTAGTGGTGCTGATAGTAATCGGAATCTGAATCGGAGTCAAAGTCGGGACGGGACGAGTGGTCAATGTGTGTTGTGCGATTAGGATAGAAGTCCGCGGAGGTCGTTTCTGGGTGGTGGTGGTGTGGCGGCCGTGGTCTCCGATTCCCGTAATTATAAACATCATCAACAACATCATCATCATTATCAGCATTGGAGGGTGGTGGATAATGATGTGAGTCCGTTGCTGGATTGTGATTATCGTGATGTTGGTGAGGATACTGATGAGGAGGATGGTGGTGCTGCTGGTGATACTGGGGCTTATTAGTCACCACGGCAGCAGCAGCAACTCCGCTATATGGCGACTGCAGCACCACCGTGGGCGTAACAATAACGGGCGACGGACTGGAGACGGGGTGGGGTCGTCCGGGTGCGGTATCCGGCAGGGGTACTAAGGCTGCCTGCTGCCAAGATGGGGTCGGCGATGAGGTTTGTTCGCGTGAGTTCATCTCGGCTAATTTATTGAAACGATTGCGACCGCCGGTATCCGTGAGCACCATAACGGTGGGATTCATATCGGACATGTGATCCTTGATGCAGTTCTGCAGCAGATTCAGAAAGAAAAAGAACGAGAGAAGCGTCAGCGCGGACATCACCGTGCCGGAGCCCTTCTTCGATTTCTTGCCCGAGCTCCTCGTTGGTGGCGGTGGCTTCGGCTTTGGATACGAATAGGTCTGCGCTGGTGGAGGATGTGGTGGATGTGGCATGTGGGCGGGAGGATGAGGCGGATGGGGCGGATGTGCGGGCGCACTGCCAGCACTGGCATGATACGAGGAGAAGCTGCCCGAGGGTGACGTCTGCTGCAATTCGTACTCCACCGATGGCTCGATGCCGCTGCTAATTCAAACTTGCATTAGCCTCGGTCTGTCTCTGTGTCTGCGGGTGTGGGCTTGCGCTTGGGTTTGACCCGAAGTGGCCGCTCTCTTACCCATAGCCAGAATGTCCGCTGGATGGTGCAGTGCCTGCATAAGCACCGTTGTGGCTGCTGCCGGCGGCCAGCAGCGGTCGTCCCTGTTGCTGGTAATGGTAATGGTTCGGATAGTAATGGTTGGGATAATGCACGCGTTGCGTTTGACTGCAAAATATGGAAAGCAAGCAGTGGAAGGGAGAGGGTTACTCCATAAACTCTGATTGGATGGCTGTGAATGAGAGTGACTCTGACTAGAGGGTGTCCCGAAAAATGCTGAAAGCTACGAGTTCAACAAAAATATCTGCAGCAAAACTAATTTGAAAGCAGGGAAAGCACTAAAAGGGTTCTATAAACGGGGAGTTTTCCCTTGAAATGAAATGAAATGTAAGTACAAAATATTAAAATTCTCGGAACACCCTTTATAAGTCATTTCTCATATCTGTCTATGGCGTTGTTGAGTGCTGACTGAGGTGAGGACTTTTCTGGCTGCCCCTCATGCCGGTGGCCTGCACATCCAATCATCAAGCGCGGGGTCACGTCGAGTGTCACTTTCTGTCATTTTGGCTTACGCATAATTATTCGCCGCAATGGCTGACAGCAGTGGATGTTCCTCCTGTAGCTGTAGCTGTAGCTGCTCCTGTAGCTGTTGCTGTTGCTGCAACTCTCGGAGCTGCTCCAGCTGATGCTGCAAATTTTGATGTTGATTTGGCACAGACATGCCGTTGGTTTTGGAATTTCAGCAAATTTAATTGCTAATTGATTTGTGCGGGTGCTCGGACTCTCACTCTCTCGCGTCTGCTTATCACTTCACTTCACTTTGGGATGGCATAAAGCGTAGGCTACACTCAACTGCCAGAGGCAGCAGCCACAAAAGGGAGCTCAGAGAAGCTGATGGCAGCAGCAGCAGCAGCAGCAGCAGGGTCCCAACCGCAAGTGACAATGTCGCTTAGGCAACTGGCCCCGAAAGCCTTTGCCAGACACTTGGCAGGCAGCTATTAACAGGGGCAACAGCAGCAGCACTAGCACCGGCAACGGCACCAGTCCGGGCCTGTCATTGTCAGCTGTTAAGTGAGTTTGAGTTGCACTGCAGCTACAGCAACAACAACAACAACAATCTTAGCACCTGAATGAGGCAGCAGCAAGTGGCAAGCGGCAAGCGGCAAACTGCAAACTGCAGCTACCAAACTGCCGGCTCTGACAATTGCCTGTAAAGTGTTTTGCGGTGACATCGACCAACTGACACACACCTGAACTGGAGCGTTCCCGGCCCTGATGCGCTGCACATTTTGGCCAGACAATTAGTGCACGACAAAAGGCGGCCCAGTAATGCTTCCCAGACCCCCTTCTGGCTGCCCTGTCAGTGTTAATGACGCTGCAGTCGCTTGTTTATTGCATTAAAGCTCCATGGATGCAGCGTTATGCATCAGAAATTGTCATAATTGTGCCATGTCTGGCACAGAGTCTGCCTCTGCCACAGCCTCAGACTCGGTTTCGGCAGCCAAATGGAGCTCAGTTCTTGTGGTCTTTTGTGTGGTTAGTCGAACGTTCTCTGGTCGCTTTAGATAGAGATTTCATCTCTCTCTTCCGTTGAAGATTTATGACTTGGGCTAATAGTTTTCATTGCCAGCAAATGTTTATGGCATGCATTGTCTGGGCATATACGTTTTTAAACGAAGATTTAAATACGAAAATGAAATGTTTAGGTTAACAGTTCAAGCTTTGTGGATGCTTGAGTGGGTTTTAAATGAAATTAAAACAGTTTCCATTGAGCTATTGTAAAACTCTTTATCAAATAGTCACTTTCTATCAAAACACTCTGCTCCAAAGTAAAGGTATTACACATTCGATCAATTAGCCCACAACAAGTCCCTAACAAGTCTGGGGCTGTTGTCTTCCCTAAACAGGAAACATTACACTGCAATGGCAAATATTTAACATTTCCGCAGTGGCAGTAACAACAGAAACAGCAACACAAAAAAAAAAGAAAACATTTGCTGAATCAAAAGCATATAATAAATTGTCAAATGCTGCTGCACTGCAACTTTTCCACACATTTCCAGCTTTGATTTGTCGTCCTACCACCACCACCACCACCACCACCACCACGAGCACCACCCAACCCTCAGGAAATGTCGTCGAACAACAAAAATGGAAAAACACAAAAACTATACAACTTTTGCTGATGCTCCAAAAAAAAAATGTAGCAAAAAAAAATAGCGAAAAAAAAGCAAAGCAAATCAAAAAGTCAAATGCCTTGAGGGGTTGCAAAATTGAGAGTGGCTGGAATGTGTAGCATATACGAATAGTGTGGGGCACAACCCCTCCCCAGGTTTTATTGGGGTGCTGGGAATTGTAAGGGGTGAGTGAATATTTGTATTTAGCTTTTGTTGCTGGCGCCATTGTCAACATATTTCAAGCGAGCCTCGGCCTGAGCCTCAGACAGAGAGTCAATAATAACTTGACTTCCCCCATATTGTGGTAGTTCCTCATGGCAGGACTGGGAAGGACGGGGGAATTCCTACAAGATTCTTATAAGATTTTTATGGCCAGCTAAATTGGTCAGTACGCACCCAACAGAATTTAATGACTGGAAAATGAGGCATTTAAGCCAAGTGCCAACGAAAGTTTCATCTTCGGGGAACGTGTCCGGTCAGCCGCTGATATTTATGGGTCTGCATCTGTATCTCCAACTCGCTCTCTGCCACTGTCTGTGTCTGTGTCTGTGTCTGTCTCTGTGCCCTGCGCACCTTCTGTCTATCAGGGCGAGGTTGTGAACTGGGCCCCATGGGGTGTTGGCTGGGGTGGGTGGGAGCATACATTAATTGCCGTGATTAACACGTAGGCGCATTAAATTATACAAAAACATGGAGGAGCAGTGACAGTCGAAGGAATAAATACCCTAATTAATAATATTTAATTATATTTGCATGGTTTCTAACAGAAGAATGTAAAAAAATGACTGCAAATAATACCACAAAACTATAATTTAATGAATGTCCATGTTCAGGATAAACATATTCAGGAACAAATTCCATTTAAAATCGTCCACACCCCAGAGAGTGTATCAAAACCAGGCCTAGACCACATCAATTATCGCATATGAAGCGCCCAATGCATGCCTCTCTGTGCCTCCGTGCAGTTTACTTCTGTGTGCGTGTGTTTTCTGTGAGTATCTGTGTGAGTGCATAAATCATTTGGCTACATTAAGTCTTTGAGGAACACAAAACAGGAGCAGGGCGCCGTGAGGGGCGAACACTGAACAAACTTTTTGGGCTGGCTGGCAAATGAAACAAAAATAAAAACTCGTTAGGCAGAGCCAAGACGCAGAGTACGTGCCAGGACTTGGACGTGGACGTGGATGTGGACTAGGACTTGGGCTGGGAGTCGTACTTGGACTAGAACTAGAAGCCCCAGGCAGCGCCAACACGCCAACACTGTGGACTGGACTGGACTGTGCAGTGTCAAGTGTAAAGAAGAACTACTAATCAGCAGTTAATTCTTATCTTTAATTAAGTGCACGTTCCACCCCCGATCCAAGAGGTTCCAAGGAGCACAAGCTGAGCAAAGGAGCACAGGACTTTGGCTTTGGCTTGGGCTTCGGCTTCGGCTTCGGCGTTTATGGCAGATGGCAGACACAGAGGGGAGTTCTAGGAGTCTGTCCAGCTTTTTGCTCAACACTTTTGTTTGCCCTTCTCCTCCTCAGTTTTTGTATTTTTGTTTTTTTCTTTTTTTTTTTGCATTGTCCGGGACAAAGGCCACTCGCTGGACAGGACACCCGCCTTGCCGCCGCCTTTTGTCGCCTTTGTCCTGCTTCGGTCAATTTAATGAAATAATCTAAACAAACACTCTTGAAAATTAAGCAGTTTTTTCCTTGTGTTTGGCCTTTCTTCCACTCTCGAATTAAAAATGTAATGCGTTCGCTTTTGTTTTGTTGCTGCGAATAATTAAATGTGGATATTTTTCGTGTTTCGTTTGGTTGGAAAAGAAGCTGCCGCCATCCGGCTGGCCAATTAAAAAGGCCACGCAACAATGGCCAAGGCGCTCATGCATGGCTTATCCTAACCCTTTCGGTTCGTTCCTTCCTTCATCGAAGACGGGTTCTAAGATGCTGCTGGAATTCGACGCGATAAACTTCGACTTGGTGGGAGTCTGGGCGGCTCTGGGGTAGTCCATAAGTCATTACCCCTATCTGAAAAGCGCCCACAGGTAGGAAAACGCTGCAGAACAAGGGGGAGCTCGACAGAAGTTGCTGCAGCTTTTGGCCCTCTCAAGTTGTTTGACAAACAATACACAACCCGGCCAAGAGACGGGGACACCTGAAAGAAGAAGAGCAGCAGCAGCAGCAGCAGCAGCAGCTGGCAGGGGGGAGTGGCAATAGGGGAGCTTGTGCCGGAGCACGAGGGCCGCACTCAAGCGTACCCGTCACATTTTTGCGCTTTTACATGGCTCCCCTTTGCTCCCATTCTCACTCCCATGCACCCTACACTGCCACATCACCACCAATGCCCGACAGGAGTGCCCCAAAACGTGGCATCATCAGATACATGAAAACAATTTTTGTACAGCAGTGAAAAGCTGCACTAAAAATAAAATAAAAGATATTTTATTGAAGTGGCGCAGGGGAGTGATGGAGTGTGAGGGTGTGGGGTGGGGTGGGGTGTTGTGGCAGGGGCGACTCATTCCCCGGACCCTGGCAGATTAATTATGCATCGCTAAAATGCTAAGCCAGGTAGCACCACGGCACACCACGGGTACGAGTATCGCAGCAGTGCCCCAAAGGCAAGTGGCAAATGGGAGTGATGAAAGGGTACACGAGGGGGGAGAGGAGGAAAGGGTGTGCCAGCCCGAGGGGGAGTATGTAAAAGCCAAGTACAAGCCACAACAAAATTAAAATCCAAATAAAATCACAAAAAATGTTTTCGGCAAATATGCAGATAAAATGGAAGGACTTTTAGATAACCTAACATAGGGGATGCACACTACAAGCGATTGGGTATCCACAATATGATATGAGGGATATAAAATACAACTAAAATACAAGTTAAAAGTTCTAGAAGATTCTAAACAATACTTGACTTAAAGCTTATTGTAGAGTATGCCAATATTATTTATCAAATTGAATTCCATTTGGTACAGTACTCAGCCAACCATTAGCTGAGCATTAGCTTATCATAGCATACGCATCCTCTTGCTGTAAAATAAATGCAAATCTTTTTGAATTCCGCTGGTGTTGGCGGCGTTGCTTCAAATCAAATGCCTGTCACAGACAGACCCTACAAATCATCATGCCTCTTCACACATAGCACTCGCTTCCCACACACACACACACACACACACATACACATGCACAGCCACCAAATTATTCACATAAATAAAAAACGGTGTAAAAAAAAATTAAGATTAAAATAAAAATTAAAAGCTACAGCTAAAAATCAAGCAGCAAACGTCAAAGCCAAAAGCGTCGAGCTGTCGGAGCTGTCGGAGCTGTCGTCGTGTCACTGCACCCGCGTCCAGGTGAGGGCCGTGACAGGGGTAGGGGGCAGGCGGGGGCACAGAAGTGCTGCGGACTCACACACAGCCACAGAGGCACACATATGAACATGAGGTGCGACACAGATACACTCACTC